GCGTGAACTTCTAAAAATAACACTTCTTTATTGCATAGAGAAGAAGCTAAGGCAACATCAAAAGGAAAAAAAAAATGGAAGAACAAGAAGCAAAGGCAAATTGCTTTTTCTAATGAGTTTAAAGTTTTTCTAGATGCTCGTTAATTTGTCCAAATGGAAAAAGAAAAGTAAAGTGAACCAGCTAGGTCATGTAGTATTTTTTTTTTTTAACGAGGACAATTATTTATCATTATCATTACATATTTTTAATAAAAAAGAAGAAATGGGGAGTTGAGGATCAAACACAATACACTCAAATAGTATTTTTATTTATAAAATAGATTGATACCACTTCATCATTATGTGAAGAACATCACATAATATTGTGTTAGACTTCCAAAATAACACATTTTTTATAACTAAATTTAATAAATAATCGAATAATTATTGACTCGATTTCATTTTAGTTTAAAAACTTAATTTTTTTTAAATGCTCTTGAAACTATCATTTCTACACCATTTTAATGTATCCATCTAGCCATCATTAATTTTTGTTAACGGAATACCATGTTATAGAACACATGGAACCAAACTGGCACATGTGGTGAACTTCAACCAGCGGTCCGATAGCCGCGCGTCTCATTGAGGTCGGTGGGCTGTTCATCAGATCTAAAAATCGAATTCTCAGTTGCTAACATCTAATAATACTAACCTACTAACCATTGTCCTTATCAAAAAAAAAAAAAAAAAAATTGGCACATGTGGCCAAAAATAACAGTAAAAATTATCTTTTAACTTTTAAATTTTGAAAAATGTTTTAATTAAGTCCTTGAATTAGGTAGAGGAAAACCAAATGCAATTATTTTCCTCTTCTTCTTCTTCTTTCTCTTTAAGGTCTGACATCTTATTAATTTTTCTTCTTAATTAGTTTTAATCTAATTAACTATTATTAAGTAATTACTATTCCTTTCGTTCAGCTTTGGGTGACTTACTTTTCTATTTAAGTATTCAAATTTACTTATTAATTTTTCTTTTTATATGTTATTTAATGTGTTTATTTTTATTCTATTTTTATTTTAAAAAGAAAATTACAACATATATTAAATAAAAAGTCCTAGTTAAGTGGTATTTAATTAAGAATAAATATAAAATTTTATCAATAAATTATTACATCTCTATTTTATTGAATAAAAAACTAAGTTCATTAAAAATGAACAAAGAGAGTAATTTTTAGTTTTTTTTTTTTTATAACCCCTAAACCTTAATTCTAGTAAATTATTGTCCAGCAATAATATTTTTTATTTAAAATTTATTCTAGATTTTTTTTAGAGTATATTTTAAGGGGATAAATGTTTTTTTCCTATTGTAACGTTATTATTATCCTTTGACTTTAACTACCAATCTTATCATAAAAAGTCTTTCATTATTCTTATCTTTTTAAAGGGTAATATAAGTAAGAGGTTAGTATTTATCTGCCTTACTTCCCAAAAATTAAGAGAAAAAATGACAAAAATCACCTTAATGCATGCTTTAAAAATAGGGTAGTTTAGTCTTTTTTAATAAAAAATTATTAAAACGACGTAGTTTTAGGATAATTTTCTTCATAATCTTTAAGAGGTAAAGCTGACAGAAACTTTTTCCTATAAGTAAAATTATATTCTCTCGGGTTTGATTTAGTTATTTTACTTTGTCTATTCATGAATTATCAATAAATTTATTTATTACAATAATTAAGATTTATTTTTCAATTTTTTCCTTTACTTAGAATTAAATAAAAAACTTTGATGCATTTCAATTTCTTCTGAGATAAAAGTAAACTTGAAATATAAATATTTAATGTTTTATTAAAATAAAAAATAAAACAATTAAATCAGAGTAGCCTTATTTAGAATTAATTTGACAACACTATCTAGTATTGCCCTTTAAT